GACCTTACCTTTTTGGGCATCAACATGAGAAAGGAAATCGATCATGATCGCAAGTCCTGTAAGAAAGTGCATCCCTGTTTCATGGACGATGACAAACAGCGAGATACATGCTGACTTTGACAGACGTTGCGTAGCGGTTGTGAAAGCAGGTCATTTCAGCAGGCTGCACTGCATCCACCGTTGAAGCACAGAAACAACCGGTGACTACGATATTGTGGCAACGACTACTGCTTGTGTAACCGTAAATATTTTCATTACAGTCGAGGCGATTTCCCAGTGCTTGAAACAACAGCAGAACATGAGAGTGATACGTAAGGTCGACGCCTCACTTTTAGCATCTATTCGGAATGCTAATAAATGTCATTTATATGTCATTGTGCACAATTTCGTAACATGCATCTTTAGTGCATATTAATTGCGCCATTTTAAATTTATAAAAGCCATATTCAGAAATTTTTGCAATAAGATGTTTACGAAACCTGAGTGGTCTTTTTACAAAGCGTTAACAGTGAGGCGCTTGGAAGCAGAATTTTTTTCCTTAGGAGAGGGGAAACTTTTTGAATATAAACTTTGCTGCGATCTTCTGATTATTTCCGGTGTTCGATGCAGAACGGATTGACCAGACCTTTCACTAGGAAAAGAGAGGCAGTCTTTTTTCGAATGGCATGGCAGCAGTTGAAAGTTTTTATGGGACTGAGATTGCAGTGCGTTATGGAAGTGCAGCAGTAGTCCACGATGTGTTCCATGGTTTGCACTTTGTTCCATCCACAGACAACTCCATAATCTTCCATGATTCGCGCGCCAAACCTGAGCATCAACCACTACCCTTGGAGCAAGGTGAAACCTGAAATTTGATTCATTGGTTCTGCAACTATGGAGGGTTCCATTTTGATCACGATTCAGTTTGGCAGGTGCCGTTCTACTCTCGTTCGCAACCAGTGCAAAACGGCGGATCCGAAAGTTTTTCCTGATGTCAAAGGGTATCATGTGCCAGATAGGTGTATGGGTCGATCGGTTAGTCCGGATCAGTAAAAACTGTTAGGGTATTCACAGACTGTAGTATGTTTATCGTTTTCTGTCATTTGACATCAAGCAAGCAAGAACTGCCATCCAGGATGATAAAACCATATAAAGAGGTATCGCTGACGATGAGGATGTTAAGTAATTATTTTAATTAAATTTACAGCATCGGTTGATATTCAGTTATCGGGTTGGTCAAGGCGAATTGCAGTCATGAAACGCAACATCTGACCGCACGCTGGTGCATCTCACAATCACGTCCTGACCGATCAGAATGACACGCGTTTTCTATTGTTCAGAAGTCAATGATCTACCCTTCGGCTGTCAGGAGAAGGGGGGTGAACCCTAACACGGTTGAGTAAGTTGATTGCTCAAGCAAATTTCCGGTTAATGAGAAAATTTTGCGCCACGATGAACTGCAAAATTTGACTTCTGACTGCAAGACAAAGAATTCACTCTTTCGCTTATCCTTTTCACCTCAACCCCTATTTATCCTTAAACATCCATGCAAAATGGATGTCTAAGCAAATGCATATTTGTTGCCAATCATTTGTGAAGTTTCTATGCAGATACGACGATCACACGTCATGAAAAACTGGAAAATGCACGGCCGAAGGAACAAGCAGGAATCAAATGTGGATATAGTATGATTTTCAGGTAAAAAGCAAGTAATTCAGGCAAGCAACGAATATCAGCTTCCTCTATGCCTGGAGTTCGTCGATTTCCGTAAGATTTTGTCTCAGTCTGCATTCTTTCTGTACTGGATTGAGAAAAGGTGCAAACACCTCACCTCAGCGCCATGGTCTGCAAAAGGGTAACTGCTAACGTAAAGCTTCATGAAAATACAAACAAGTTCAAAATCGAAAAGGACGTCCAACAGGGCGACGCAATATTACCGGAGTTAATCATGCCAGCTGTAGAAAAGGGTCTGAATTCACTCCTTTGGGAAGATCAGGATCTGAATATCAATGGGTACTGTTTGCAGATGGCATTTTGACCATTTAAAGGACACCAGATAAATTTTAGAAAGAGTCCATGGTCAGGGCACCAGCATCCACGTAGGTCTGGAAATGAAGCGGACGAAGGCTTAGGTGATGTTTAGCAAATGCATCTCAGCGCGACAGCTCATAACTGCAGCTGAAAGTCGACTTGTAAAACCAGCCGAAGAACAAAAATGTTATGGAACACTTTTGGACGACTAAACATGTCCCCCTGTGCTTTTAAATGAAAAGTATTCGGTCACTGTTTGCTCCAGTACTAATCTATGGATGAGAAACTTATACCCTAAGTCAGCAAGCTGTTCGAAACCTACAGACCCTGCAACGGAAAGATCTATGACGTCATGAGATTGGAAGACGAATGAATGAGAAGAGCACAAACAAATACTTACGTTGTCACTGTACGAGTGAAGAAGTTAAAATGGCAATTTGTAGTAGACGTTGCAAGATGAACCGACCATCGCAAGGCCAGAGAGACATTAGACGGCTTTTCAAAAGAAAATAAACAGCCGGTAGGAAGACCTCCCGATCGACGGCAAAATAAGGATGGGTAGAAATCGCAGAAAATATATGTTTATGTCTACATCATGTAGAGGATTTCATCCAGCAGCGGATCGATAAAGGCTGGTGATTTCATCAGAGTCATGTGAATGTCTGCCATCGTTTTCCTATTATCACTTTATAGAAGATCAAATGGAACGCGCTGTTTTTCTATGCATTTGTAGCAATCAGCAAATCATGTTCACATTGGTTCTGTTCGCATTCCTTCAGTAGATGACGATGGTTGGTCTGCAGCAATCCAGTTTAGTTTACAATTAGTGTGCTGTGCTGCTCAGTCTTAAGTTGTGAATTGTGAACTACATTACTTTATTGAATGAGACCTCTACTCTAACTGTTTACTCGAACGAAGAATCAGAACTATGCGTTATAAGGCAGAACTCCATTATGAACCTAGCAGGTGAGCTGCTTGTCGTCATAGTAAGCCTGAAACTCATTACTCGAATAAAAGCCGTATATTGCACCTGAACGATTTAAATAACGAATTTCAAAAAATAGGGAAACCCGTGCCCGGAATTAACACACTTAAATTTAGCTTCTCCAAACTACTGTGGTAACGTGAAAGGTTTATATGAACCTCTAAATGGTTGTATATCATTACGGTATAGCGGAAGTCTGATAGGTCTACAGATGCTAATCAGACAAATCTATATCTCTCTATGAGAAACATGTCTTTCCTGCAAGGTCGGATGAAAGGTTTATAGGTAATCGTTCCAGAAGATTATACGGCTTACCTGGTATATCATAATCCGTTTTCTCTGAAGATGGAGTGATTTTTGGATGGGGAAAGATGAATTCATTCCGGAGATGGAAATTTGTGCATCAACAGCATGCAACATCGAGCGCACAAATGCTGATGGTTTGTCCACGTAAGATATTTACA